GCAAAGCTCTGTCTTTGGTACTTCCCGAAGGAGCTCAGAGGCCTTAGCTTACAGCAGCCTGCAGGAAGAATCTTGCAGCATCTTGGATGATACTTTGGGGTCTGAACAAAATCCGATGACTTGACATTCAGGTTTTGCACCAACTAAAACAGCTTCTGTTCCTCAGGAACCCGATCACCTCTTCGAAACGATCTCGCAGGCCATGCTGAATGCCGTGGACAGAGATGCCATCTCTGGGATGGGCGTGGTAGTACATGTAATGTAAGTGCTGCTCTCTTCCCCTACAGAACAGAGGTAGAATTTAACAAGGGGTGTGTTAAAGTCCGTTAAGGCACTGGTTTCCAGGGTATCCCTAACCCTGCTCCCTTCCAGCAGTATCCTTAGTAACCCCCCATCCATTTCACGTGGTTTATTCCTCGTGGCTGCTCTCTGGTGCAGGTCACGGCTGTTGCTGGAACTGCCGGAGCCATGGGAAATGGACCCCAGGCCTAGACCCTTGCTGCACAGGGGATTCCCTGGCTGCCCCTCCGTCGGTATTTGGAGTGTGACTCCTGACACTGGGGTAGCACTGGCCAGGAGGATGCTTTTTACCACGGCTGGGTGCCACATTAACTTCCAAACTCCGCAGCCAGCCCGACTGCTGAAGCAGCCTGTGCTGTTACCCTGCAGTATCCCAGGCACTGCTGTTTACTGAGCTCCCCCGGGGCGAAGCGGCAGGAGGATGGGGGTTTACGTCCACCCTCAAGTTCAGATGATCCTGCCTGCGCTAGCAAACAAGCTCCCTGTGCATACCGCAGCTTCCCAAGGAAGGGACAACCTGTACGTAGGTGTTAAAGGCAGATTTACTAAGAGTCTCCTCTCTTTCCCCCTCTAGTGAAAAAGACAAGATCACCACCAGGACCCTGAAAGCTCGTATGGACTAGCCCAGCACTTCTCCCGCGTTTCACATCCCAGGCTGCTTGGAACTTTTTTAAATAAAGCTCTGTATCCTACTGAACTTTCCTTTTCTTGAGTCTGACCACTGGGATTAAGTTCTCATCTCTGAAGCCCTCGGGAGCTCGGGTTTTACGGGGTGGTCGGAGGTAGGAACCAGCTATCCTCATCGCCCTCAGAACACCCGCACGCGTGAGCGCGGAGCTTCGGCTGCAGCCTGGGCAGTCGGCGGCATCGCCGTGAGACAGGATGGCAGTATTAACTTCTCTCAAATCTTGTTCTTATAGGCAGGACTCGGTAAAGATCAAATCTTACTTAAACCCCCCATTTTACAGGCTGTGGTTAACCTAGGACGTAAACCGATAGCTGACGGAGCCAGAGGCGAGCGAGAAGACTCTGAAGAGGACAGCGGTAAGGAAGAGATGTACACAAAGTTCTCATTTTATTCTCTGGTTGGAGACTCATCTGGTAACACGCATGCATTTCAAAACAGTAACAGTGTCAAACTGCTCCTAGCAAACAGACAAGCACAGAGGACTTAAAATTCCTATTTAAAAAACAGTGAAAAAACCCCTAGAATGCTCTTTTTTTTTTTTTTCCCCCCTTCCTTAAGTTTTAGATTAATTTATTCACATTTTTTTCAGTTGCACTGATTAGCCCTGCCCCCAGCCTTGCGACCCCGTGGGTAAGACTTGACACGACTCGGTCTCGCCGCGTTGAGCATCCGGCGGCCAAACGAATGGCGGGAACTCCTAAAAAGCTGGTTTCCCCCAGCTTTGCCATCGCTATTACGCGAGGTGCTCGTTTTAGAGAGCAAGGAAAAAATCAGCAGTGGCCGATAGGGATCCTGGGGGGAAGCAGACGGGCAAACCCACGCCGGGGTGTTAAGACGCAGACAGGGGAAGGGTAGCCGGTTTGGTTTTGGAGCCGTTTTAAGGATAATCTGTCTCGGATCGGTCACATGGTGTTGCAAACCCAAGTTTGGGACACGGACACTTGGGAAAGGTTTGTACCACCTTGAGGGTAACCCCTCCAGGCCTCCCTGCAGCTCGAGGGGAGGCGGCTGGAGACTGAATAGTAGTCACAGGACCGGGAGGCATTGGCCGTCGAGGCCGAGACACGAGCCCTGCCAACACGCCCCTAACTACAACACAACCTTGCTTCCCGCCTTTCCTGGGCCGAGAGGCCAGTGCCCAGCCGACGTCCTGCAGGAGGGTGGAAAGCGGGGCTTTCCTCCCTGAAAAGGACAGACTCAAGCGTTTTGGCGTTCCTGCCGATGATGGTAATCCGATTCAAAACTGGGATGCTCAGATGTGGGAGTGCAGCCTCGTTATGCAGGAAATCTGGAGTCACCTACTACCCCAGAAATTCTCCCTGAGATGGACAACACGGCTTTCGTAATGAAAACCAGGGAAAACAGAGGCGTGTAGGAGACCGGAGGGAAGGAGCCCACTGCTCCTTGCTGGGAGACGCGAGCTCCTGCTGCCATTCCCGCGTTCAGCGGAGAGCAGACCCTCTTCCTAGTGCCGACACCGCGGGTGGGTGCTGCCTGGTCCCTCCAGAACATGTGGGTCCCATCAGAGGGTGACCCAGCGTTGTTCTCGAGTGGGTTTTTATTGCACCATCGGAGCAGAGCAGCACCCAAACTGCAACTCCGCGCTCCGCCTTCCCCACTCTTCCTGACGCTGTAGGAGCTCTCCCACCGGGGAAGGTGTAAGTTGGAGGTTCAAAGTTTAGGTCTTAAATTTGGACAGATCGGGCCCACATTCAGAGAGAGACATCTGGAGCAGGCAAGGATACGGATCCTGCGGCTCCTCCCACAAACTCACCCTACCCTTGGGCACCGGGGAGAGATGCTGCACGTGACGGAGGGATATTTTTTTTCCTTCACGAAACTCCAGTTAAGCAAAGAATTGCACTGCCATTTCTTGAAAAACCCTGCACTCTGACCGGGATCGGAGCCATCTGCCTACCTACTGCGACTCTTTCGGCTGAGGGGGGTTTTCAGTCCAAAGCACTTCAGTGTAAAGTGTTCCGCAGGGTACATGCTACAGACAGAAACAGCTACATTCAGCAAACTAGAACTAAACTCACACCAGAAACAGACAACAAACGAGCACAAGCAGTTGTCAAACCAGAATTCAAAAGGGCCGGGTTTTCCTCTTAAATACTTGCGTTAAAAAAAGTGACCTAAAACAAGATTAAAAAAACCAAACCAACAACAACAAAAAAAAAACCCAAAAGGAAGAAAAGTCCCTTTTAAAAACAAGTATTTGCAGCTTCACTTCTTATTCTGGTAATAAAAATACTGTCTAGAAACAAAAATTAGCATTTTTAACGTAATGCTACCTCTCAAAATGTAAACAATATACAAAACGCTTATGTTAAAGTTACATACCTGGGTAATACATCGTTAAGTGAGAAAATTGCATTTAATTACTTGAATACACACAGTGTGGCAACGGGACAGAAATGGCAGAGTTGGGGAAGTGCTGAAGTGAATAGAGCTTTTGGGGCTTTTCGTACCCCTTGAGCCAGAGGCAGCCGAATTCATTCTAGCAGGAGCTGGGCTGGAATAAGACACAGCCAACTGCTCCTAAGCCCTTTGTCTCACGACGCGGGGTAAGGACCGCGCTGCAGGAACTAACCGTGTTGCAACGTCGTTCCGTGTCCGAAACGCGTGGTACGGATTGCTCCTAGCTACGCAAGCTTCGTTCTTCTGCTTTCTCTGGGTTGGTTGTTTTATAGTGTCTCGTTGCAGGATGCCTGCAGTTCACTCCTTTCCTTCTCTCTTCCTCCCCCCACTCTCCCCTTTGCTTGTCTTTTTAAATACACGATTTGAGGAGTTTAAAAGGTACAAGCTGGTTGCTCAAAAGGAGAATGGCAAACTTACCAGGCCAAAGCTGCAGATTCAACGCAGATTTTTAAAACTGTCAAGAATAAAAAGCGATCGGTGTTTAATGCCTGACAGTCAACTTAAGTGCTTACTGTTTAAGAGAAAAACAACCAATATAATGCCCACAAAACTAGGCTGATGATACCCTCCGAGTCCTCCCTTGTTTTCCAGCATCCTGCCTTTGTTCTGTGGCTTTTCCAGCTACACACCTTAAGACACAAGACTCTCCAGCCTCCCAGACAATGGTGTGTTCGCCCCCACGTCACGCAGAACAGGGGCTGGACCACAGCGGCTGAAGAGATTCGTCCCACGTCCAAGGGAATGACCCACGAATGAATAGAAAAGATTCATATCCCATTAGGAGCCTTAATAGCCATTTTTGATTTCTTAAAGACTCTATTTACAGTGCACTCGTCTGGGCTGAAAACATTACACACCCCCCCGCCTTTTGTCCCCTTTGAAGTCGAGACCTGTAGGATTCACGTCATGAATGTGGGTATGAACATAAACCCCCAAGTCCACCTTCCGAATCCAGGCCAGAGCGAGCGTTAGTCTAGGGCAATTACCAGGATGTGAAGAGCACCAGGTATCCCTCCGAAGGACCAAATGCCACACAGCAAACCGTAGCACGCGTTACAGCACAGGACGGACGTTCGGAACGGCTTATTCCCGAAACAAAGGCATACGTGAGAACAGTTTCAAGGCAGATAAGCAACGTGTTTCAACGGCAAGAGGTTTGTTCAGAACGCTAAATCCTGCTTAAAAGGAACAAGAGAATAAAAAACAAACCAACCCAAAAGACCTGTAAGTGTTGTGCAGCAGAACTAACGAAACCCAAAGCGAGTCTGACAAGCTTGGCTGTGAAAAATACTACAAGCGTTCTGGAGACAAAACAGGACGTTATTCAGTCACGCAAATCAGTTCCAATTCCTTAGGGGGGGCGGGGGGGTGTGAAATAATCTGGCGCAAGTGTTCGAACATCTCCGCTCCTCGACTGTGGCTCTAGAGAGGGGGATGGAGCAGAGAAAACCCATCAGAGCTCAAGTCCCGAGTCCTCGTGAGCAGTGGAACTCGCTCCACGGTCACAGCTCCCAGCACTCCCCACCAGCAGTCCAATTCCTTCGCGTGCAAGTCACGTTGCCGTTTGAAAAAATAAACCACCTAACCAAAGAACCTCTGTCGGGAACCGGATTCAAGTACCTGTTGCAGATGGGGCGAGTAAGGAAGACTGAACATTAGCTAGATTAACACTGGCAGAACTGCGACGTGAAGCTGTAATTTAAGAGACGCGGCGATTCCCGACTGAGGTGCGACAGGGAAACGTTCCAGATAGTCAAATACTACCCCGTATCTACGGGTAGAAAATGCCTTTTTTGAAATTTCTTCGTAGCTGGCCAATTTAAAATACAACGGGTCCGTGCATGTTGTTGTCTGAGGCTGTTCAAGGCCTCCACGACTCACGCTGGGGTTGGTTTTAGGCTCTAGGAGTCACACCTTCTCAAGCATCTTTGGTAGATGTTCATTTCCCTCGTCTTTCTTGCAAATCAAGTGCAGTTACCAAGTTTGCGTTACTTAAATTAACCAAAAACAAAATATAAAGTGTCCCAGTCTGAATTTACCTAAAGTTCAGCGACTCCTCCTTATCAGAGTAACATTTTCCATCCTTGAAATGGTGAGCTATTTTCCTTCCAATTCCTACCAAGAGGGAAATAAAAGGGTTTGTACGTCTTTCTGGTAAAGACAGTCCAATAATCATTAAAAAAAGAAAAGTAGTAGTTTGTGGAATCAGGCACTGCTTCCCTCCCGCTGAGCGTGACCTAGAGCGACCCCTTTTATCCAGTGCCACGCATCGCATCCCGTGGGATTCTCTTGATCGGAGAGGAGAAAACGTCCTTAGAAAGAGCAGTGCTGAAACAATGCACTTTTCTTGTTTTAAAAAGCCCTCAAATCTAAGTCTGGGCACTTCTGTAACATAAAACCCCACTTTTCCACCTGGGTCAAGTGGACTGTTGGAGGGTGCACCTAGAATGAGTTTTCTCTTACGTCACACAGTGCCACGCACGCACTCTCGCACACACACACGCACACCCCACATGCTGCTACAGTGTCTGTTGTAGTGTCACAGGCTGGAAGTAGCCCCTCTTCTCTTCATTTCTCACTGAAGGCTGAAGACGACTATGTCAGGATATTGGAGATAAATTCATTGAAGCGTTTAGAGTACTGCTCGGGGTTCACGGTGGAGATCTCTGCCCCGGCCTGCAAGGCAGAGAGGAGAGAGAAGTCATGACACCTTCCTCCACTGCGGAGGGAGGACAGCAGGGAGCACTCATGTCAGCACAGCCTGTCTCTGCCGGGACAGACCCACCACGACTTGCAGGTTCCAGGAAAAAACACCATGCAGAGAACTCTACAGATCTCCAGGGACACTGATTTTAGCTCCAGTTGGATTTTCTGCAGCCCATTGAGTCAAAGCATTGGATTTGTTCCCTCAAGGTTTAGAGGAGATATGGAAAAAGAGTGTGAAAAATTCCCTGTCCTGCCAACCTGGGCTTTTTTCATGCCCTTTTGGGAAGTTCCCTAACAGGGAACAGGAGCGGCCTCAGGAAGGGTGCAGGGTACAACCCCCTGCAGCCAGCCCACTCCTGCTCCGTGAGGCTGTCGGTGCCACACCAGGGAAATCGAGCACCTCCCACACTGGGACATAAATGCAAGTCACCTCCAACCAACCTGAGGGAAAGCTTTTCCAAGCCAGTCTGAGGAGACAGTGAGGGAAGAGCTGGCATGGGATCACTGGAGAATTTCCATACTGGTGGAAAAATCAGTGTCAGGAGCCATCACGCACGCAAGGCAGGCATGCAGGCAAAGCAGAAGCCCCAGAGCCCATCCTCCCTGCGGGTGGCAGGCTGCTTACCCCATGTTTCACTGTTTTGGCAGCATGTGCAGCTTTCTTCTTCGCATCATATGGCGTAAGAATGTCTATAATGGCCATGAAGTACACTTCCTTCTTGGGGGCACCTAGCAAGGCAAGAGAGTCGCTAGCACACCCTGAGCTGTGAGCAAAGCCCAGCTGCACCCCCCCTTCCTGAAGAAATATAAGGCAGATCAGTTTTGATGCAACTAGCAGAGAAAGCAAGGCAGCTGGAGGCTGCAGAAGGGCAAAGAACGACTGGAAACAGCACACCAGAAGCCCACATGCTCTCTGAACATGCTACTACTCTTCAAGCATCACTTCTACCCATTCCAACTCACACCATCCACAACAACGGGCTGTACAACACAGGAGAGATGCTCGGCAGGGTCTCTCTCTCTCTCTCTGTGGACAGTCCTCCCACTCCATTTAGCCCAGCCAGACCACTGGACACCTCCTCTGCCCCTCCAGAGCCTTCTTCAGGGCAATATTCCGTGACACTCACTTTCGTGGCTTTTCATGGCGTAGACGTCGACAGAAGGATCAAACTCCCCAGGCCCAAAGAAGCGAGGGTAGTTGAGGAGGTTGCCAGGGCTGTCGGGGGGTGTGCCGTAGGAGGAAATGGGGTTGCCTCCGAGACCATCATTCTCACACTCCTCATCCTCTGCCCGATCTTCCACTTCCATCTCTTCCTGCTCTGCTCTGTCAACATCATGGATCCCAACCAGCAAGCTGTAGTCCATAATCTTCAGCTGAGCTAAAAACTGGGAGAAAGAGATGAGTGAGAACAGCAGCATCCATACGGGATCAGAAATCCTCAGTCCCACCCTGCCAGCGTGTCCCTAAGAAAGGGCTGCAGTGAGAGCTAAACCCTTATTAGACTCCAGAGAATCTACACATGCACTCGCATGCCCACTGCCACTAGCATGACCCCGACTGTATTTGCCTGACTGATCCAGAGGCCACAGTGAGGACCCACTTATGGGAGACAGTAAAAGCTGCCCCCCAGGAAACTCTACCTCCACGTCCCGCTTCAGCTTTTCAAGGAAGTTCTTTTTACTCTCCTCTCCAACATGCAGCTTCTGACCCTCATTCAAGAAGTCGTTGTCCTTGAACGTTGGTAGATCCTTGGCCTGCAACAAAAAGCCTGTGTCAGTCTCTAAAGCCCTTCTACTTGGGGGAGGGCGGGCACACCGATCCAGCAACACGCCGAGCGCACGGAAAGGCTGACCAAGCGTGGGGTCGCAGCAGGATCCTTTGTCTGTTTAAGATAAGGACCTCATCCTGTCCCCTGAGTGTGAACACGGCATCAGGCAGAGCACGGTATCTGCCAATGAATCCACGTGCTGAGCTGTGCCCAGGGGGAAACTGGAGGAAGACAGAGAGAGCAACTCAACTTTAAAGGCTGCTGCAGGCTGGAAGCTTGACAGCTGGGCTGCAGCTGGAGATGGCCCAACCAGCTTCCAGAATAGAAATGCCTTTTGTTGGCTTCTGACTGGGGAAAAAGGGCTGAAGCCTTGCAAAACAAATGCTTTTCTCTCTAAAAACTTGAGGAAAAAATTAAAACCGCTGCTTTTTGAGGAATCTACTTGCAGCAGGCCCTGAGGATTTCTCAGGGATATGGAAGAACACACAGCCCCTTTGTGCAACTGGGAATTATTTTGTTCTCGGAATGATACACCAGCACGTGGTGGCTTTATACAGATCTGTTATGAATGGTCCGAGACAAAGTGGGCAAACAGAAAGCTAGAGAGTAAACAGCCAGCAAGTCGGGCACACTGGGGCAGGATGATGCTCTGCTTCCAGGCCAGAGTGTTTGGTGTAAATGGGAGCTCCTTGGCTCATGCCAGAGATCTAACCGTAGGGCAGGTTGGAGTAGACTCACTCTGCGGTCCCAAACCTGAAAATCCCATGTGCAGAACACGTAGTACCACGAGTTACTGCCGTGATTTCATGAGGTCTCGGCAGTATCCCAGCTAAAGGTCTGCAGGGGCAGGATTCTTACTCGTATGTTCCCGTAACGGCACCAGAAACCAAACTTACAAACATGCCGAGGATCTGAGAGGAGCTGGTCTGGTTTCTAAAGGCACCTGTTGCAAAAGCTAACTGCTGACCCAGCTTGGTTTGGTACACGGGGAGAGCTATGGGGAAATCCTTCCATAAAGACACCACCGCATTAACAGGGGGGGTTTGGTACTCGTGGGGATTGTGCCCCAGGAAGTTCCCCCCACTCGTGGTAGTGTCAATATCACAGAGCAGGGCAGCACCGCACCAGAGCTGCAGCTTCCTGAGCCGTTACTGGGCACTGCCTGAAAGGTGGGACAGAAACAGGTTCATGCTTGGGGCCCCGACAACCGGCCCTGCTCGACACCCCCTTGGAAAAGGAAAGTCAGTTGGATCCCATCCTGCTTCCAACCACCAGGAGGAAGGAAAGGCTGGCCAGGAACGGTCCATACCTTCTCCTTATCGCTTGCTTCTCTGGATACTGTTGAGCCCTGATAAAAGAATAAAGAAAAGCGCATTGTTGCACTATGTGACATATTCCCAAAGAATTCACTGACACCATTTAATTCCTCCACGCAGAAAAATGATGGGAGTATTTTTGAAATCAGCACTCAACCCCTTTTTCATGCCTGGGAAAGACTGACAGCTCTCCCCAGTGCAGCATAGGCCGCTTGGGATGGGGGAATGGAACAACACTTGAGCCTCGGGTGACGCCCCATCCAGAGCCCCCAAAACCTAATCCCCCGAACAAAAAGCAACGCCCAGGACCTTGTCAAGTAGGTGTTACAAAGAGCAGGTCCCACCCTCCCAGAAAAGGAGCTCTCCTCTCCATGACTGCCCCTCCAACCCCTCACCTTCAGGTCGTATTTCCGGTGCACGGTCAGCCTGTGACTAAATACGTTTCTGGTGACCACCATGTAGGTTTCCACTCCATCCACGGTGAGCCGGTACATGCCAAGGAACTGGGGCAGGAGGGTGTTCCCATGACACTCCACTATGAACTGGAGGAAGAAGGGAAGGGAAGGGCAGAGAAAGACGGTACTGTCACACAAAACCGATCTCAGACAGAGCACAAGCTCAGCAAGAAGCTGATGGCAAAGCCTCCGGTTCCAGCCATCTGACACCGGTGTGAAAGGAAAGGAGGCTTGCAAATGGCTCTTAGGGTCTCAAGAAAAGAGAGTCAGGGCATTGTAAGAATCTTCCAGCCCTGAGCTGAGACAGAGCATCCCACGGCATGCGCACGTCCAGCCTGCTGGAACAGGCTAGCTGTGTGTCCGTCACCCAGTCGGAGCAGGGCGAGTCGATGCTGGCAGTGGCTAACTTCCCCCCTGTGGTTACGGGAGTGGATCTGACAGCAAAGAGCAGATGGACTGGCAGATAACGTGGACCAGGTAGAACCTTTCCAGCTGTCCCACTTTTCTCTCCCTTCCCTGCTCCATGTAACGTCTCCTCTCTGGCCCCTCTGGAAAGTCTGATTCAAAGGACTGAATTAGGAGCATGTTACAGATCTCAGGTACCCACGATCCATAATTCATTGATGTAAGGATCAGGGTGAGCTGTGATGTGGCTCAGCGCTGCGAAGAAGCAGGCAGCTGTGCCCTAATTGGCGCTCGGCTGCTAAGGAACGCTGTTTTCTTTTGCAAAAGCTCTTTGCAAGCACTGCCAGGTTGCACACCATGAATCCAAGCTCCAGTTCCCCAGCAAATCCCAAGATGCTCCCCAGGGTGTCTGCCACCTCCCCTCCCGGGGTTCCAGACTCACCGTACCTGATGGTACTTCTTTAAGATGTTGTGCATCTCCGCTACATCCTCGCTCGACACCGCCTTAATGACAAACCTCCTGTCGTAGGTGGTGAGGAACCGGGCCCCGCAGCGGCCCTGGCTGTCGCTGTTCACTGGGGCGCTTCGTGTCACCGAGTTCTGAGGCAACCAGAACAAAAAAAGTGGGGAGGAGAAGCAGAAGCTGCCACCTCCCTGGAGAAGAAAGAAAAGCAGTCTTGGAAAGCAGATGAGACATGGGAGACCAGGGCAAGCTCCACAACCTGGCACTGGAACAAGAGACAGCCCAGGGACTTTGTGCTGCACTGTGCCAGTGTCCTGGCCAAGCTGGAGAGCACACCTGCAAGCACACGCCAGTCGTGACCGTTAACAAGCCAGCATCCTTGAGTGTTCAGCACTCCTGAGCTTAATCCAATTGTTTTAAAGTCTGGACAAGGAGTTTAGAGCTTTCATCGGGGCCTTCTATTAGTTTACATTTCTTACTCAACACCTGGCATGCATTTTTGATGTTTTCTACTAAGAAGGCAGTATACACAGGCCAAGATTTCTTAGTATTTCCTCCTGGAAATCTAAGAACAGGCAGGATATTTCCAAGATTTAAGGAAAAACAGAGCAGAATGAACGAAACTGCCTGCCATTTCCAACAAAAAGCAGCCTAAACTGGCAAAAGTCTCATTGTTTGGAAATCCTTTACAGGTCATCCTGAAACCAAAAGCCACCCTCATTGTCTGCTGTTCTTACAATGGGATGAGAAGGATTGCGAGTATAAATAGCTTGGTTGTTCTTCCGACAACCGGCAGTCTTTACATCCCTGTCTCCACCCTTAGCAACGTAACACTGCAGCTTCTTTTCATACTTGCAGCCCAATTGGAAAATCCCAAGGGAACTGCAGGGGATGTATCTTGTGTTCCTCAAGCCACAGCCTAAGCTCTTCGTTCCGGCGCCTCTCCCCAGGTAGGGAAACCTGCTGCGAGCCTCACCCCTGTTAGAGTCACCGCTCTTTGCGCCTTGCAGACTAACCCAAGCAGGTCACCAGTCTCCTGCTTGTCACCCGGTCTCAGCAGCTCCACCAGCCCAGTCCCCCCTGGCTGTCCACAAGCCATTCTGGCAACCAACAGCACAGGCTCTCACTAGCGTTTCCTCGCCGCCGGCACAAAGCGGATGGGGAGAGTCGAGCTGTGCTCCGAAGCACCGTAACACAGCAGTACCTGTGGATAGTGGTGGTTAGCTCAGGGTAGAGGTGTCTTTCAGGATCTCAGGGCTGGACAATGCATTTCATGATGTATTTTTTAGCTGCCAAGTTACACTGTTCTCTCCTTCCCCCTGCTCTCTGAGGAGCTGACAGCAGAGGGAGCCTGCTCTTCTGCAGACGCAGACTGAGCCTGCTGCGAAAGAGGGATTTACCATGTCACGCTGCCGAGAGGTTTCCTTTCAGAATGAAGCATTTAAAGCTTTTAAAACTTTAATGAAGCAGGGGAAAAACCTCTACTCCTGCCGACGGCTTTAGAAACCGTCAGGAAAATACAGGCAAACAAAAAAAAACACCCCCTGCTTCTTGCTGAAGTCAGTCTGTGCCACACGGTTTAATCACCCCTCACCTCAAAACCACAGAGCTTTTCTTCTAGAGACGGGAAGCAGAAATCATGACCACATATGGACATTCCCAAATTCACAGCCCTTAGGTTTACTTCGTTCTCTTCCTGTCACTCCCACCTCTTCCACAGATGGGGTGTTATATTTAGCATCCTGGCTCAATTCCCACTCAAGCCATCACATTTTACCCACCTGAATTTAGCTCAATGAATGTTTGCTGCTTTCTGTCCTAGCTGGAGACCTTTAAAGAGCCAGACTGCTCTACCACCGAGATGGGGGAAGCAATCCTTCAGAGCAACAGGTAAAGCGTAAATGATCAGCTAGTGAGAACCAAGATTGTGGGTGCTTCCACCTAAGTTCCTTCATGTGCTTCTGGTCATTTCTTAAAAGAAACTAGGGGGAAAAAATCTAAAATATACTACAGCAGATGGACAGGGAGAAAAAATAATGAGGAGCTAATGACTTCACTGCATGCAAGTACGTTGAAGGGCAGGGAGGAAGCCAGCACACAAAGTAATTCCCTGGTACAGCCAGCCCCAGGGGCAGGGTGTTGCTGGCCAAGAAATCTCCTCAAGAGCCATACACAGCCTGGCGCGAACTACTGTCAACAGACCAGGATGCTGCGGCTGGCAAAACGCCATCGCTGCCGGAGAACGGGCCTGATGGCAGGAGGGGAAAAATAAAGCGAATAATCTAACAGGCACACGCTGAAGAAACGAGTGGACGGAGCGGCCGTGTCCCCAAAATAAGAGAGATCTTCCATGGCAAGCAGGAGGATCTGTGTGCGCAGCTCGTGGCACTGAGCGCGCACGGGCACAACAAATGCCCCCTGCTTCCTAACGCTGGGCTCCGCTCTATCTCCGTCAGCGGCCGGGCACCCACCCAGACCGGGGTTGAGACAGGCAGCAGCCGGCATTTACGACTCCTCTTGGGGCCGGCCGGCCCCTTGCAGAAGAAAAGGAAAGACGACTGTCAGTTCTGCTCAAAAAACATGTCTCGCTCTGTGCAAACACCCTCGGAGTGCACAGGGAGCCTGGGAGCAGGCAGCAGGGTCGGATGGGCCCTGGCAGCTCAGAAGCAACTGAGACGGTTACACAAAGCAGCAAAAGCCCCGAACCCCTATCGCAGGGTCACCCCTTCTCACAGAGGGACCAGCACGCTCCGTCCTCAGTCCAGGAACAAGGGGCAGAGGGGATGCAGGTGCGACACATCTAGCCCCAACAGAACAAGGGTATTGACTGACTGGAGCCAGTTGAGAGGAGATCATAGGGATGCTCCGAGGGCTGGAGTCCCTCTGTCATGGGGACAGGCTGGGAGAGTTGGGGGGTTCAGCCTGGAGAAGGGAAGGCTCCGGGGAGACCTTAGAGCCCCTTCCAGTGCCTGGGGGGGCTACAAGAAAGCTGGGGGGAACTTTTTACAAGGGCCTGTAGTGACAGGACAAGGGGTAACGGGTTTAAATTGAAAGTGGGAGATTGAGATTGGACATCAGGAAAGAATTCTTCCCGCAGAGGGTGGGGAGGCACTGGGACAGGTTGCCCAGAGAATCTGTGGATGCCCCATCCCTGGAAGTGTCCAAGGCCAGGCTGGATGAGGCTTGGAGCAACCTGGGCTAGTGGAAGGGGTCCCTACCCATGGCAGGGGTTGGGGCTGGGGGGGGTTTAAGGTCCCTTCCCACCCAAACCAGTCTGGGATTCTACGATCTGCTCCTTGCTCCAGACCACATTAGACCAGAAACTCGATCGAGTCGATCCAGTGTCTCACCAGTGCAATGGGTCATGTAGCTGGAGTAAGAAAACAGATCTCTTCATTATATTAACCCTGAAACTGGGGGAGATCAGGCTATAACCTAGATACCATCAGGGAGGTTTTTGACAGGTATCAAAGGGCGTGTACACAGACATATGTGGGCATGGGCACACACACTACCAGAAGGAAGCAGTTTGGTGGGATTAGCAGGAACAGCTCTTCTCCCATCTCCTCTTCCCACAACACAGGCAACAGGGGGCATGGCTGGGCTTGGATGCGAAGCAAAGGGAGAGCCCAAGAAGCTCGCAGCACTCACGCTGTTCCAGCGCTAACGTGCCTCTCCGGGCTGGCAGGCTCCAGCGAGTATTTTAGTTGAAGCCCTCGTCCAGCCAGTGCTGGCGTATCGCCAGCCTTTATCAACTGCAGCAGAGTGCCAAAGATACCGGGTTTAATTACCTAATACTCGGTCTGCTAAAGGCCAGGGAGCTATCAAAGCCAGCCTCTTTTTCCACACTGGCTTTTTCCCCTCATTTAAGAGATCCCCAGCAGCCTGCTACTACACGTCTCCTGCGTGCGTAAGACCAAGAGCTGTGTGTGGAAGGGTGGCCCCGCTGCAGCGTCAAGAGCTGCAACATCCCTCTTTCACTGCATTTAAGCCCCAGCAGTATTAACATAAGAAAATCCCTCCTCTCCAAGGCAAGTCTGAGCCTCTGGCCTTAAGGGACAAGGCCCACCGCAGCAGGCACCTCGATAAACCCAATTCATCAGTACCAATGCTTGGCACACGCACATGGGTAAAACAGCACCCAAATCTGTAAAAACACGACAGACTCATTTTCCTTGCAGATGTTCTGCACTAGATCATTCTTATCCTCGAGCTCCCGCCTGTCTGCAACCATCTGCTGCCTCTTATTTTATGCCTAGCCTGTAAGCACTCTGGAGCAGGGACCATCTTTTCCTTCTGCAATCGCCCAGTGCATCTACCCCGTTGCTGGAGGCCCTTAGGATGATGGTAAAACCATCCAAACCACTACAAGCCCATAAAAACTGACCACACAAACACATCGATATCATAGTTTCTCTGCCAGCGTGGTTATTCTGTCCTGAAGGAAATGTATTAGGGAGGGCAGGGGGAGAAGAGATGGTACCTGGTAGTCTTGATCGTCAATCCCGAATCTTTCTCGGAGGTTTCGGAACACCATTGGACAATACTCTTTAAATTTAAAGCGACTTGGCAAGTTTTCCCTAGGGCAAAGAAGAAAAGATATTCTTGTGCAATGATCAGCTTGTGAAATCAAACTCAATTCTCCTCCCACTTCACTGCAAACCCCCTGGGGATATCCAAGCCCCCTCTCCTACCTACAAGGGCCCTATTCTGCAAGTACTGGCCCGCATTAGGGTACCTTGGTTTTTGGGGTGCCCACAAAGGTCATCTGTTCATAGAAATGCTGGCAGGATCCAGCTTTTGAATAACAGGCTCTTTGGATGAGGATGTCTGTCTTGCAGAACAATCTCCCCTCTCACAAGCACAGATTTGACAGAATAATCTCTTTCCTCCTCCTTTGTTGCTTTGTTCCGTTCAGTCACACAGCTGCCCCCCTGCAACACGCTGTTACTGTTGAAGATGAAAAGCTGGAGGAAAGGGGGGGGAGGCTCTAATTTCAGATCAGATCAAATCACTCGTGCATCAAAAGAAAGGTCAATGCAAGACAAACCATCTCATCCAGAACGCAAAGGAGAGGGGGTGAATCAGCTCCAGTCTGGCATGTTCCAGCCCAGTCCCAAGCGTTACGGAGCGAGCTTTGCTGCCAGGCCTCGCCGGCCGGGAACAAGGCCTCCCCCAGAGCATGGCACAGCAGACGACACAACGTTCCCCATCGCTGAGGGATGCTGCATCTACTCCCTACCAGAGCTCTTATTTTGCCCAGTGGGAAGAAGCAGGGAAGAAGATCCTGCCTGGACACAGTGGGAGATTTTGTCAGCTCATTCTCAATGAGGATCCTTTGCACCAATACATGGGAAACTAAAAATCTATGTAGGAGAAGAGGGAAGAGCAGATACTGCAAATTGTAGGTGCCAGAGAAGACAAACTTCTGAATCACACTCCCACTCTTAAAAGCTGATCCCTGTGAAAATGAGTGGAAAGGAAGCGTTAATCGGGGAGCGCTGCAGACCCACACACAGACAGAGCCAGGGCGGAGAACACAGCTCCGAGAACCAGTCACAACCATGGCTTTAAAAGGGCTTCCCAAAATGGATCTTTTGGGAAAAGGAGAAGGGGGCAGCTCCACACAAACCCCACGGGCCAGGGGTATAACGCAGCTTCAGGGCTGTGAACAGTCTCAGAGACAAGGAACCTCGCAGGTCACAGAGAGCAAACTCCTGCCCTCTCCTCCATGGCCTTGGGATCTGGGCGCTGTTTGTCAGGACCAGACACAGCGACAGGGCACAGCAGGAGTCACAGGACAGTCCTGCATCACTTTTGTGCACAGCCAAGACGTGCAGCCAAACTTAGCTTTGCTAAGTTGCACTGTGTGAACCCTAAACCACTCTTACCCGGTGCAGTAAACATCAACGTGTAACCACCTCTGTAGCCGTGGCACTTCTGGGCCCGGCCTTACCAGACCTCTCATCACCCAAAGGATATAAACCAAACCACAGGACAGCATCTTGGTGACAGACTGACCCCTGCCACGTCCCGCTGAGTGGTCCAGGCAGGCCAGTGTCCAGCCAGGCCAGATCCTCTCGGCATTACAAGAGGGAACAGAAAGGCTTTCACCATGCATTTCCCCCGCAGCAAAGAACCGTAATTACACAGACGGGTTGGGAAGCACCTACTTACTTGTTGAATAGATGATTGTCCACCTTAATCTTGCTGTAGGCTTTAAAGTCATCGGGCATTAACATGACGGGGACAGGAACATTGCTGAGTTCGTTGATCTAAGAGAGAAAGGAAACAGAGATTCAAACCCCAAGTTCTGCTGCCCTGCAGTTACCATCAGCGGACTTAGTGGGATGCCAAATACCCCAGAAGCTGGTTTTGGGGCAATATAAACTATTAGACTTTCAGAGCAACTTGCTGTGCTGACGGAACCTGGAGAACACTGTGGTTCCAAGCCTTGGAAGCGCCTCAATCCATCATGGGGTGAGTACTCCCCCCGCCAGCCTCAGCTTTCACTGTTCACCTTCCACTGATCATGCAAGACACAGCTTAGAACCGAGACAAACCTACAGACCATGAAACAGCAGTTTGTGTTCTAAAGAAATCACCTTTGTCTTTCTTTAGGAAACGCTGCACCAGCCAATTTCTTAGCTAGTTCTCACTTACAAATCACGGGTGACCAAAGGCTGCCACGTGGCCAGACAGAACGCTCTGGGCAGCTTTGGTGCTTCACAGCTCCCCTGTGGATGCTGCTTCTACGCTTGCTGTCTCTTACTGCTCTTATCCCACCTTCTCTGAAGGGATGAGTCACTCCACTAGATTGTTTTTGCTCCTTAGTCATGTGTGGCAGCCACGGGAACAGAGGGAAGCAGAAGAATGAACGTTCAGCTACTATTGTTCAGACAGGCTCATGCTACAGCACCCAGCATCAACAGTAGGAAAAACCCCCAAACCCACCAAATCAAACCACCCCACCAGCTCTGGACTCTGTCTGGCTACCCTGCTCCAGACAAGCCCATGCGCTGACAAGGTCGTGCTGGCGTTCAAGAGCAGGTCAAGAGGCGGCACGTTTCTGAGCTGCCTTTTCCGAGGACGGTCCCAGTGTCAATCATTCACATGGATTTCACAGGAATCACGAGTCCCATCTGACTGAGCTGCTCTTCACATGCTGGATTTAGGAAGAGGTTTCATTACGACTCCATTCCCCTAATTGCTGTGCCAAGCAGGTAACGCTGGAGAGAAGCGGACAATGCTGGCAACAGCAGGGCTTGGCCAGGAGTCAGGCCTGGGGTCTGTTCCCAACACCAAAACCCGAGGCAGGTCAAACGGCTTCCAACACGCTTGGAAAGCACGCACCATTTCCTTGCTGACAGGGAAGAGGATCCAAGCCGTCAGCCTGAGGAAACGGGACCCCAGTTCTGGGATTCCCTGCTCCTTGCGTGCAACAGGGCACAGCGTGCTACCCAAATCGCTGCTGCCACATCTCCAAGGAGGTGAAAGGAGGCGTGAGGGAGCAGGCGTGTGGCACAGTTCACCTCTGCAAGGACTGGGGAGGTCCCAGCTCCGGAGACGTGCCGCGAGCTGTCTAATTATATGAGCAAGCCTTTGATGAGGCAGAGATTTTTCACATCCTTTCTCCATCATTACCAACGAAAAAACAGAGCAGATTTAACGAACGTCAGACTGGAAAGACACATCCAGACTGCAAAGAGAAAAGATGCCTATTTTCAGAGACAGTCATCCCACACAGCAGATAAGCGGGAAGTAAACTGGCCAGCACTTCGCTAAGGGCAGAGACGGTGCTCTGCGAAAGCCCTGCCCTGTATTTATTGACTTTACAGCAGCACCGAGGAGCAGAAGCATTCCCATAAGGTGCTCTGGATGTACGGAGAACGCTGCACAGATGGATGAATACGTGTCATACACCCCCCATCACTTCTAATCACCACGGAGTGGGGGGAGGCTGATACCCCTCCCCACTTAAGCTAAAGGCTCAATCCTGCCCTGAACCACTCCGCCAGCCGCAGCCAGAGGAGAGGAAAAGCAAGAGGAATGCAGTGAGGAAGGGATCTCCCAGATCCTGTGTCCAGCTACTGCAGGGAGCTCTATCAGTGAGCCCTGTGCAGTGATTTCCCCTCGGGGTGAAGGGGAGGGGGAAGAGAAACCAGCTAATTCTGTATCAAGAAAGAGGCGCTGCCTCCAGCCACTAATTATTGCTGTCTAACAGGAGGGGAAGCCCGACAGCACAGCTCCTTCGACACGCCTGTTCCCAGCCCTCGGTGATGGGTAAGGCACAAACAAGCTATTACCAGCTCCTTCCCGAGTGGAGGAAGGGTGCTGACGGCTGAGAGGGAACAGCAATTTGGAGATCGTCTCCCCCCGCCGCCAGAAATTCAGACACAAGCGTTAGCAAAGTGAGATGTCAAGCCGTCTCTGGGTGTCCTCATTTCTGCCAAAGCAGGAACCTCCAAGCAAACGTTGTACCTGTTGCAAGTCTCCTGACTGGCAGAAACAGCGTGCCAGGATACCTCCTCTCGGTTAAAAGATGCCCCCACTCTTCCCAAGATGCAACAGCCTGAAAACAGCCAAAAACATCCCCCCTGCAGAAGCCTTTCCCCTCTTGCAGTGGCATGGAGTAAAGCTTTCTGGATGCTTTGGGGTTCGGGCTCTGGAGGAGATGGGGAGCAAAACCACTGCCAAAGGGCTGAACTGGCCGTTTCCAGTGCCCTCCGTGGCACAAGGCCGTGCGGGGTCAGCTGGCTATGGGGCCGTGGGTCCTGACACCAGCCTGGAAGCAAACACGGGTTTGGGGTCCTGTTTGGTTGGTTTTAAGCAAGAGGTGTGTGCGTTGTCTGCTCCCACAGTAACTCCCGTGCTTGGCACTGTCCTCAGGATCCCAAAGGGAGAGGAATGAAAAGCCCCCACGCTGCCTTGCAACGGGGATATCCCACTCTCCCTTCTCATAACACAACCCTCCAGTGCCCTTTCCGAAGGGTTACGGGGCCGGGTCCTGCAGCACGATGCCAAGTGAAACTCCAGGAGACCTTGCCCAAAGCACCACTCCATAGGGATCCTCTCCCGTGCTTATCACGGTGGAATCTGAGCAGCCTCCGAGAGCAACGTGACGAACGCCTGGCACATGTTTGCTCTCTCGCTTTCTCCCCAGGGAGAGGCGTGTAGCAGGAGATTATATATAGCAGAGTGTGTGTCTCTGTATTTATGCTACAGAAGGCAAGGTCGCGGCAAGGTGCAGAGCAACGAGGTGCCCAGCAACCCCTGACTCCCCCTTCCCACCTGTCTGACCCGCCTGTCTCCCACAGAGGTGTCACCCGGCCGTACAAAGTTTGCCTGTACCTGGAGCTTTGGAGGTTTCTGGTGCTGGCCACAAGATGGGCAGCAGGATGGGGCTTGGTCCTTTGTTCTGGAGGAGGCAGCTGCGGAGAGCAGAGGTGCAGCAGCAGACAGCATCGCAGCCACATGCCCTGGTCCCCCCACGCAGGGGGCACAGGCTATTTTGAGAGGCACATCAAGGGCGGAGAGCTGATTGGTGCTGTACAGCAGCCTGTGCCTGGGGGGGGGGGGTCCACATCTCCACTACAAAGGCTTTAAGAGGTCCCCAAAGTGGAAAAAGTTAAGAACGGCTAATTTAGAGCACAAGCTCTTCAGACCCGGGATCTGCCTTCAGCCCCAGCATGATGCTGGTTTTCTGCAAGTCATCCAGCTTTTTAGACCTAATCTGCCTTTGAATCCTCTTGAAACTAAGTCCATGTTGTTGCACTGCCCTCTTACACCAGGAATTCTCTCTCACACCAGGAATTTTCTCTTCCCTCACTGAGTAGAACACAGACAACCTGACAGGGACGGGTCCAGGCTGAAAGCATCATTAAACGATGCGTTTGGCCACTGCCACCTGCATTTTACAGAACGACACAAGACACTGGTCCTCCTGCCCCTCCCCAGGCCGGAGGCAGCGGGAATGGCGCATGCCCTCAGCCTCACAGCGGACTTGGACACCCACCAGGCCGGAGGATCTCAGCAGAGCTCAGAGGATTTAAAACCAAGGCACATTTTAAACAAACCAGTTGACATCTTCACTAGGCAACAGCAGGAGCACTAAGAGATGCTTCACGTTTCTCTGCCAGTTTCACCGTATTCCCAGAACAAAGGAGCAACTTCCCAAGCAGCCCAGCGTGTCCAGGGGTCACCCCTGCAAGGAGAGAGGTAAGGCAGCAGATGTCCCAGTGTCATAGAATCACAGACTGGTTTGGGTTGGAAGGGACCTTAAAACCCACCCAGTCCCACCCCCTGCCATGGGCAGGGACACCTTCCACTAGACCAGGTTGCTCCAAGCCTCATCCAGCCTGGCCTTGGACACTCCCAGGGATGGGGCATCCACAGCTTCTCTGGGCAACCTGTCCCAGTGTCAAACCGGTGCGATCCCAGCCACAGCCTTGGGGTGAAACGGCAGCCAGACGCCACTGAAGGAGCGACCAGGTCTTCAGGCAACAGCAGCAGGTGAGGGGGAAGACCCCCATCATGCCAAAGCCACAACTGCCACCCTCCTTCCCCATCTGCCCAGCAGCCAGAGGAACAGCAAGCTCAGCTCCGCCGTTTCTCCAGCTCCCCAGCCAGCAGCTCTCCCCTTCCCCCCGCAGAAGCTGCCGGCCCCTTCATCCTCAGTCAGCAGAATTCATTTTTGCCTACGCCGCCGAGAAGTCTCCAGCCACCCCTGGCCTTACAGGGCTGGAAAAATACCACCTCCCCTCCGTCTGTCCAGCTTGTAATTCCTGGTCACTCCAGTTCCTGAGCAACAGCACTCAGTACGATTCGGGGTTTATCTGTAGTCAATAATTTGTCCTTCCCACCAAAGCCGATTCCTTTTTCAATAAAAGACACATCAATATTCTGTGTCATTCAGGGACAGCTGTTAGAACCAACGGGCCAGGCATAATTTTGTTTCAAAACCTGACTGTAGCCTCAAAGTGGCAATTACCATTAGTAAATTGATGGGAAAATGCAATTTGTTTACTAACAAGATCCAGATGATGGAGTGTGTGAGTCTACTCTCTAGGATTCTTTACAACAGGAATTTGCTCAGGAAAATAAAAATACTTTGTTCCTCTCAAAGCCTTTTGATTGGGCACCTCAAAGTACTTGGTGAGCATTAATTAAACTCGGTAATACTCCAGGAAGTAGGTAAAAGGCAAATGGCAGAATCATTTTAACTAGCACAGAGACAAACCCACATCTGCAGGAAAAGTTTGCCGCTGCTT